ATGCCAGCGGGAGGGAGAAGAAGAGAAGCCACATTCATCAGCTGCAGGAGGAACATGGAGAGAACGGTTCCTCTATATGCACCCGCTCCTCCCATCCAGCATTTTAACTGCCTCCCACCCGCCATATAAGGAAATGATGGGCGGGCGGCTGTTCCCTTGTTCTGAGAGGACGTCATATGATGTCCTTCCACTCTAACCGCGCAGGCACACCCCGGCGATCGGTAGTGCACTGTGTCCCTGGAACACAGCGGATCACTGATCAGAGTAAAGAGCCGATGACATCAGCTCTGTCATGTGATCAGCTGTGTCCAATCACAGCTGATCACATGTAAATAGGAAATGCTGGTTATCGCCAGTCCTCTCCTCATGCTGACAGCGCGTGAGGAGAGGAGAGCCGGTAATCGGCATGCCTCAGAGGGGACATTTACACTGATCATCAGGTACTGCATTTACTATGTTTCAGTTTGTGAGGAAGGGAAGCTATACCTGTCTATTCATTCAGTACAGCTGAGGCTGCAGAGATAAAGTGTAACGGCTATCCTCAATCTCCTTTCTCTGTCTCAAAGGTGGAACATCAGAGGTCTGTTTAGACCCCTGATATCTCACCAAAGCCTCCCAATGGGGCTTATAAAAAATAATTTAAAAAAAATTCTAAAAAAAAAAATATATATCATAAAATAACAAAACAAAACCTACTGACATCAGTGGGGGAATTACCAGGGTCACAAAGGTCGCACTTGCGACCAGGCCGTGATGGAATGCCACCAGGCTTGAAGAAAAGACCCCCAGCCAAGGGTCAGGGGGACCCTTCATGGTTTCTTGCACTGGGGCCCTGAAGGTTCTATATACGCCACTGCCTCATTCTCAATGTCATACATTATATCTCAGCTGAAACTCTGATAGAAAGTCAAGGTACAGGTATGCCATAGACAAACTCTAGAGAGCATACAGCATACTTGCCAACATTTAAAAAAAACATTTTAGGGACGCTTTTTGTTGTCTGTATGTCCAGAAAGCCAGTGTAGGTGGAGTGCTGCGTTGAAAAATGGGTGTGGCATAAAATAACGCTAAATATTGGGAGTGACTTAAAGGGGGTGTGGGTAAATAGAGTGAGGTTTTCTTGAGCTCCCCTCCATGCAATTTTGCTCTCCACCCAAACATCCCAAAAACAAATAAACACACATGAACTTATGTAAAAAAACTAATAATGTAAACATAAAGAACTGGTCCACACTCATTGATTGGTTGCTAGAGGTTACTGCACATTATTGCCACTCACTGACTGGTTGCTAGAGGTTACATAGTTATATAGTTAGTCTGGCTAAAAAAAGACAAAAGTCCATCCAGTTCAACCATAGAAAAAAAAAAAAAGTTATAATCCTATACCCACAGTTGATCCAGAGGAAGGCAATAAAAAACCCAGCAAAGCATGATCCAATTTGCATCTGCTGGGAAAAACATTCCTTCCTGATCCCTGAGAGGCAATCGGATATTCCCTGGATCAACTTTACCTATAAATGTTAGTATCCAGTTATATTATGTGTATCTAAGAAAGAATCCAGGCCTTTTTTGAAGCAATCCACTGAGCTGGCCAGAACCATCTCTTGATGGAGTCTATTCTACATTTTCACAGCTCTCACTGTGAAGAAACCTTTCCGTGTTTGGAGATTAAATTTCTTTTTCTACAGACGTAAAGAGTGCCCCCCTGTCCTCTGTGATGACCTAAGGGTGAATAGCTCTACACCGAGTTCACTATATGAACCACTGATGTATTTATACATGTTGATCATATCCCCCCTTAATCTCCTCTTCTCAAGAGAGAATAAATTCAGTTCCTCTAATCTTTCCTCATAGCTGATCTCCTCCATGCCTCGTATCAGTTTAGTTGCCCTACTCTGTACTTTCTCCAGTTCCCCAGTGTTCTTTTTGTAAATTGGTGCCCAAAACTGAACTGCATATTCCAGATGAGGTCTTACTAATGATTTGTACAGGGGCAATATGATATCTCTCTTTCTGGAGTCTATATCTCTTTTAATACAAGAGAGGATTTTGCTCTCTTTAGAAGCCACAGCTTGGCATTTCATGCAATTATTCAGCTTGTGATCTACCCCCAGATCCTTCTCCACCATTGATTCCCCCAGTTGTACACCCCTAGTATATATGATGCATGCATATTATTAACCCCTAAGTGCATAACCTTACATTTATCAACATTAAATCTCATTTACCACATAGTTGCCCAATTAAACAGTGCATTGAGGTTGGCTTGTAAGTTGAAGACATCCTGTAAGGAAGTTATTCCACTGCACAGCTTGGTGTCATCTTCAAAGACTGAAATGGGATTTTTAATCTCAGACCCTAAATAGTTTTTAAATATATTAAAAAGTAAGGGTCCCAACACTGAACCTAGGGGTGCACCACTGACAACCCTAGACCATTCAGAGTATGAATCATTAACCACTACTCGCTGAATACGATCTTTTAGCCAGTTTTCTAACCATTTACATATGGATTTTCCAAGCCCATAGACTTTACCTTGCAAATTAGCTGTGTTTGGGGAACTGTGTCAAACGCTTTTGGAAAATCCAAGTATACCACTTCCACTGCCACCCCTCTATCCAAGGTTTTGCTCACCCACCTCATAAAAAAAGAAATCAGATTTGTTTGACAACTTCTGTCTTTTATGAATCCATGCTGTCTGTTGCTTAAAATATTTTTTTCCAGCAAGAACTCATCTATGTGGTCTTTTATTAAACTCTCCAGTATCTTCCCAACTATAGAAGTTAAACTAACAGGTCTGTAATTACAGTGGGGCAAAAAAGTATTTAGTCAGCCACCAATTGTGCAAGTTCTCCCACTTAAAAAGATGAGAGAGGCCTGTAATTGGCATCATAGGTAGACCTCAACTATGAGAGACAAAATGAGAAAACAAATCCAGACAATCACATTGGCTGATTTGGAAAGAATTTATTTGCAAATTATGGTGGAAAATAAGTATTTGGTCAATATCAAAAGTTCATCTCAGTACTTTGTTATATATCCTTTGTTAGCAATGACAGAGGTCAAACATTTCCTGTAAGTCTTCACAAGGTTGGCACACACTGTTGCTGGTATGTTGGCCCATTCCTCCATGCAGATCTCCTCTAGAGCAGTGATGTTTTGGGGCTGTCACTAGGCAACACAGACTTTCAACTCCCTCCAAAGGTTTTCTATGGGGTTGAGATCTCACTGGTTCCTCTATTTCTGCACCTGCATATAATAATAAACATCATGACAATACAAGCTTTGTACCTGGAACTCTTTACTCCTTCATAGCTCCCTCTCTCTGATAGTTGTGCATGGTTCCTCCTCCTCTTAAAGCAGCGTGGGGTCACAGTCCCCTGTTAGTGGCCTTGTTCTGGGGGGGAACAAATAAAATCTGGGGGCATAGCCCATCCCAGCATCCCCCCTAGATCTGGCCCTGTGTACCACCTCTACAGAGAAGACGGATGGGCTGGCCACACCCCTCCCGCCCAATCAAACTCACTGCAACCAGACAATACCTCACAGTCCCTGCCTCAGGGACGTTACAGTGCAGAGTGCAGAGCCCATGGACAGCTGGTGGGGGAGGAGGTAGGGGGAGGGATCTTTCCCCACATGTTTGTGTGGGCTCCCATCGCAGCAGACCAACAATGCGTGCCCCTGTGTGTAGGCACCCCAGCAGCAATAAATGTTAAGAAAGCCCCAATGATCAATGTCAGAGTGTGGCGCCAGCCGCCTGCAAGCAATCCAGGGTGACACCTGGCTGGCTGATGTCTGATTGTCCGTGAACGGCTGTCATTTTGGGACTCAGCCCGGGACAAAGTCATGTTGGGACAGCAAATCCGTGACTGTCTCGGCCAATTCGTGACAGTTGGCAACTATGCATACAGGTTACTTTATGCATCTGAAACATGGGCTGTTCTCTTACATATTTTGTTTTTACCAGTTTTGGGCAGCCCGACCCTTTAGGCCCCTTTCATACGAACATTTTGATCGGGTCCACCTGTCCATTTTTAAGGGGGACCCGATCTGAACCTCCATTCTCTATGAAGCGGGAGTCCTCATGATGAAGTTACGTGACATGACATAACGCGTAGGGTACGCCGATGATGTCAAGCCGCAAACCAGACATGCATATGCCGCCATTTTGGATAGGGGATTCCTGCACTTTATTCTACAGTTACACAGTATAATGAGTTTTTACCCTGTAGTGTCCCAGTTGGTCAGTTTTAAATGTGAGTGTATTGGATTATTTTAATAAAGTCGGTTTTATTTGTCAATACTTTGCTATATGGAGCATTTTTTTCATATGTTTGTGGAGCATTATGGAGATTTTAAGGACTGACGGCTGTGAAGATCTTGGTACCAATATATCCTCCTGGGTTAAAGGGAAAAGCGTAGTTTGACCTGGTATTTTGGGTCAAACTTGAAGGTGAGCGCAATAGTGTGTTAGAGGTGGATGAGCACTAAGGGGTGACACAGGAACACCGTACATGTGTATACAGTAGCGTGATCACACATACTCACCTGGAGTACAGCGGATTTAAAGGGATGGTTCACCATTATTTTGAAATTATAATTTTGGGACACTTATTGATGGTATATTTGGTATATGATGCACAGGAGATATACTGCACAAGCACTTGTGAAGATATTGGAGTGTTAAAGGGAGAGTTCACTATTTAGAACAGTTCATTTGATATTTATGTACACTATTCATTTTGCACTGATATATGCAGTTCTATGGGTATTCATATGTATGTGTTTATATATATTTGATATAGCACATATTATTGTCACTAAGCACAATTTTTGTTTTCACTATTCGTTTATGCATGTTTGATATTAGTAGCACCATAACTGAGTTTATAGTACTGCGCTGCATTTTTTTCAAAACAAATTTAGATGCTTTTAGTATTTTTCACAATTCAATATTGAAACTCATAATCTAGATTTGCTTTTTTATATTTCTTTTAGAGACTGGATTTCCCAGCTTTCAGCATATGCAATGGATAATTTTTTTGAAAGCTGCTGAGTTGGGTGTGGATCTACAGGAGGCATGGATAACTCACAATGCAGCTGTGTACATCCTTAACCACAACAAACATATTATCGCTTCTGGGAGGTTATCCATTCTTGTTGAGCCACTGAAGAAACTTCTTACAGCAGTCAAGAAAACTGGACATAATGGGTGAGTGTCTGTCTTTTCATGTCTCCAGCTATGGCTGGCCTCATTGTCATACTTGCAACAGAAATGCAGACAGGGAGCAGCGGTGTGTACAATGTAGTGTCATGGCCATCACCTCCTTGTATGGCTTTCCTTAGCAGAGATTCACCAAATTTTGCAGTCAATGTAGTGATCCTGTCTATTGCCATCATTTCAGATTGGGATGGGATGACCAGATAAGATAACTGTAAATCTTGTTTTATGAATGTCAACATTTTTTCCTTTAGAAGCGTTTAGACAGGTTATTTTTTAAATTTTTGAGTTCCAATAAAATATAATTTTCTTGCGGTAGACCAATAGATTTCTCTAAATGTATGTTTTAAGCTAATCACCTTCCTGTGTATGCACTGAACAGTTCACCAAAGTTCCATCTTTTCTTATTTGTTGCTTAGGAACCCAGTGCTATTGCTGGTACTCTCCAATACTTTAGCCAGAGGGTTAATTCAGCCTTGGATACCTGTGTCAGAAAAAAGACCAGAAACTAGTCAGCATACAGAGAAGAGAAAGAAGATGTCGGGGAAGGGAGCTGAAAAATCAAACGCAGCACATGTTTTGTCAATTGATCCAAATGGTCTTCCTGATATAAAAATCGCCCTGGAGGTAATGTTTGATTTTACAGCAGTATTCATTAAGAAATTAGTGGAGCTTGAGCTACAAATGGAATGGCTTAAATCAAAGTATATTCATGTGTTAGAATGGCCCAGTCAAAGTTCGGATGTAAATCCAATTAAGAAGCTTTGGCAAGACTTGAAAATTGCTGTTCACAGGCTCTCTGACAGAGCTTAAGCTATTTTGCAAAGAAGAATGGGCAAAAATGTCACTCTCTAGATATACAGTTGTGTTCAAAATAATAGCAGTCAGACATCACTAGCCTGATCAATCACTGTTTTTGGTAGAAATGATATTTCTACATGGCAAATAATTTACTAGCAGGTGTAGTAGAGTAATAGAAATCCAACAGACAACAGTCATGACATGCATGCTGCTGATTCTGTGTAATTGAATCACTAATTGAAAGGGGCATGTTCAAAATAATAGCAGTGTGGAGTTCCATTAGTGAGGGCATTCATTCTTTGAAAAACAGGTGGCAATTATTGCCCTTATTTAAGGAAGGAAGGCAGCAAATGTTGTACATGCTGGTTACAGTGCATTTCTCTCTGAAATTCTGAGGAAAATGGGTCGTTCCAGACATTGTTCAGAAGAACAGCGTACCTTGATTAAAAAGTTGATTGGAGAGGGGAAAACATATAAAGAAGTGCAGAAAATGATAGGCTGCTCAGCTAAAATGATCGCAAATGCTTTAAAATGGCAACCAAAACCTGAAAGACGTGGAAGAAAGCGAAAAACTACCGTTCGAATGGATGGAAGAATAGCTGTTATGGACCACCTGGTGTACTCCAGCAGTCCCCAGGACAGGATTCCCCAGGGCGCGGAGTCTAAGCCCCAGTCCGCTTGTTCACCAGAGCCCCTGATGGTGGGGATGGGCTTGGAGCGGACAGTGACCAGGTCGCGGCCCCTGAGTACACCCACCTGAGGTAGAGGAATCACCAGAGGTAATGACAGGTAGAGAGCCTGACGTGAAGAGGCAGACAGGTCTGGAGAGTAGCAGCTAATCCGTGCGGGTCGGATGGATGGCTGAGCAATAGCGTGGTCAAAACGGGCCAGGTCGGTAACAGAGGGGTCAGCGTGGTACAAGGCAGCAGGCAGAAGAATAGTCAGGTCACTCGCTGGGGGTCGGTACCAGTAGTTCAGATCAGGTAGGGATATCCAAAAGAGAGGTCAAACTTAGCCAGGGGTCAGAGCAGGAGAAGTCAGCAGAGGTCAGGTCCAGGCAGGTCAGCAACGAATCTCAAACAACGGGAACACAGGAACACAGGAACCAGATCAGACCATACGGCAACTTGTGTCTGTGCAGGGCTGATTTAAGTAGCCCGCCCTGCACCTGACAGGTGCAGCCTAGGTCCTAGTGCCTGCCCAGCACTGTCATAGGCGACGGGTGCGCCTGGGTCCTAGTGCCCTGATGCCTGCATGTCTTGACAGACACCTACGCATGTGCAGACCCATGCGTCGCGATGGTCCCTGACAATAGCCAAAATGGCAAGGACTCAGCCAACAATCAGCTCCAGGAATATGAAAGAAGGTCTAAAGTTCCCTGTGAGTACTGTTACAATTAGAAGACACCTATGTGAAGCCAAGCTATCTGCAAGAAGCCCCCGCAAAGTCCCACTGTTGAAAAAAAGACATTTGCTGAAGAGGTTACAATTTGCCAAAGAGCACATTGACTGGCCCTAAAGAGAAATGGCGCAACATTTTGTGGACTGATGAAAGTAAGATTGTTCTTTTTGGGTCTAGTGGCCGGAGACAGTTTGTCAGACGACCCCCAAACACTGAATTCAAGCCACGGTACACTGTGAAGACAGTGAAGCATGGTTGCGCAAGCATCATGATATGGGGATGTTTCTCATACTACGGTGTTGGGCCTATTTATCGCATACCAGGGATCATGGATCAGTTTAAATACATCAGAATACTTGAAGAGGTCATGCTGCCTTATGCTGAAGAGGAAATGCCCTTGAAATGGGTGTTCCAACATGACAACGACCCCAAACACACCAGTAAACGTGCAACATCTTGGTTCCAGACCAACAAGATTGACGTTATGGAGTGGCCAGCCCAATCCCCGGATCTTAATCCAATAGAAAACTTGTGGGGTGACATCAAAAATGCAGTTTCTGAGGCAAAACCAAGAAATAGAGAAGAACTGTGGAATGTAGTCCAATCATCCTGGGCTGGAATACCTGTTCACAGGTGCCAGAAGTTGGTTGACACCATGCAACACAGATGTACAGCAGTTCTCAGAAACAGTGCTTATACAATGAAATATTCATTAAGTGATTCAAAGGAAAGCAAAATCTGCAAACATTTTTCAGTTTATATAGTGAATGTTTGAGTTTGTAAAGAATACAAACACTGCTATTTTTTTCAACAGTCTAATATTCACTTTTCTTCAATTTTTTTAGAGGGACAACACAAATTTGATATATTTTTCTTCATGTTTTGATTTGGAATAGAATGTGTAGTGTTCCCAATGCATTTGTGTGTATGGAAATAAAAGCTATTAGAAGGATTTTGAGCTTTTATCACATAAAATCCTAATAAAATACGTTTATGTTTTTGGTCTTAACATAACAAAATGTGGAAAATTTCAAGGGGTATGAGTACTTTTTCAAGGCACTATTTGTGGTGCTAACATTAACCAAGATTTGAAAGTTCTGGTAAGCTGCTTGGCTCCTTTAAATAACAAGTCTAAAGCCTAGTACACATGATGAGAATATCAGACGAATGATCATCCTTTTTTTTTTTTTTTTTGCATGCTAGTCTCATATGAAAATCGAATAGGCTCTTTTGGCTGTACTTCTCAAGTAGATCACAGGAGTGCAGTTTGTTCTGCACTCCTGTGACCTATTTTCAGCTGACAGCGGGGTCACTCAGCTGGTCCAGACTGGGGAAAGATCCCGACTTTAAAGTTGAGATCCTCCCGAGTCTGGAGTGGCACCTGGGTCAGCAAGCCGCTGAGAGCCTGAGCCAGGCGCTCCCTCCCCGTCCACAGCCCAGCACTCCAGTGAGCGGGGCAGGGGTTCAGAGCTGACAGTGAGAACTCTGCGATCAGTATTCATGTGATCACTGAGTTCTCATGCTTAGAGCAGGCGGGGGACAGATGCAGCAGGTAAGTATGATTTGGAGGGAAAAAAAACAAACAAAATTTGAAATTGTCTTTTAATTATTATTATGGAATTTTAAGGTACTATTATGTACAGTATATTGGTGTGTGTACTTATTACTGCTGTCGTGTTGTGACATTTTATTCCATTCAATTATTGAAGTGTCTTACGTCAAAGCGCGGTTCTATTTATGTTAAAGAATAACTTCAGCTAAAACTTTTTTCTTTCTCTTTTAGAGAGGGGAAGGGTTAGAACGTTATTCATGTGTTTACCGATGCCTCTCATTTGAAAGATTTTCCTTATATTCCTGCCCCAGCAACAGTTGTCACTAAGACAGCAGATGTCCCCCATTGGGATAAACTCAACAAATATTTATTATTTATTTATTTATTTGTGATGTTTAATCTTCAGAAACTGTGTGGGTTTATTACTTTACGTGTTCCTGCTGATTCCCCTCATTTTCGTTCCTGGTGAATGTGGTCATTGGGGATGGAAGCATAGGTGATTTGCCATGAAGAGACTAAGAAAGCAGTCCAAGATTTTAAAAACGTTTTTGCTGGAGTTATATTTTAAACAAACACAATTGCTTCAGGCTCTGGTGGAATTTCAACTTATTAGTATGACATTATGGTTTACTGAATTCTAGAAATGTTCTCCCTTCCTCTGGATCAGATCATGTTTAGAAATTTAAAGTCAAATTTCAATGGATATGCGATGCATATACCTGCCTTTATCTTCTTGGTCTTATTTACTTTTATTCAGATGATCTTTGTATTAACATTTAGGTCTGTGAGTTTTGTTTGGATTTTACAAATGGAAGCACTACAGAAGATGTAGTACCTATATCTACAAGACAACAACTACTATCAACATGGGTGAAAATTAAGCAGCTGCTCCAACAACAAATAGGACAGAAGCTGGGAACAGATGATGAGGTAATGTGGTGTGGTAGTTGTGTGATAATTTCAATTGTTAGATACTTTGGTTCCCTCTCCACTGTGCTTTCCTTCAGACATAACTGTTGTCATATCAGCTAGGGTGACTTTCCTGGAGCTCAGCAGCATTAGTAGTTGGTAGACGTCTGCTTTATTGGTGTTGCTTTTCAGACAAAATATGATGGATTGTGCAAGAAAGAACAGGGTTTTTTTTGGGAAAATGAAGGAGCTTCACGTCACAATATGTTCTGGCATGTTTGTGAAATTTTGCCTCATATTTCATTTCCATGTAGTTGTTTTAGCCTCAATACAACGGTTGTTATTTGCTATGCAGTAGATTTGTAGACTACATGCATGCTGGGAAGCCTGCTGGAGCTCATTATAGTGAAAGTGGGGGTCACTGGGCCTCATCTACTCCTACTAGTTGTTCCTCTTTTTGGTGTGATGTATAGACCTTTAATAAGAAAATATACTGTTTAGCAACCTAAAGCATTTTACTACACAAAAACTTTCTTCCAACCTCTAAATGTAAGTAGAAGTAGTGGTGGGAAATAAAGCACATGCAAATTTAGCCAATCATTGTTTGCACATTAAGTCTTCATGGGTCCCTTACCTAGAGGCAAGATATATTTTGTCTAAACACTTTGTGCTGAAAGGTATCCCTCTTTTTTAGAAAGTTGGTGGGGAGGATGTCACTGCCTTAAATGAAAGCTATATTTTTTATTGGTGTACCTCTATTAGTAATATCTCGCGCTTGCTACAGAGAACACCTATGATCACAAAACCAACCTACTGACCAGGAGACTGCCTATACAGCTCTGACAGACTCACTATGACAGCCTGCCATAGTGATGTCACG